AATTCAAACTTTGAAAAAAAAAATTTCGAACTTTATGACACATTTAAACTATCAAGCTTTACCTCGAATGATTGCAAGCAATTGTGACGACCTCATACAAAAAAGAAAAAAGGTGTCGTTGTATGCAATTCCATGTATACATATCTAAAGAATTGGTAGTGCAGGGCACGTACGATTCTAGCCCCAAGCTCGCCGCCTACCCTTTTTTTTAAAACCTTGGTTAATTGAAGGCACCATTCTTCCGAATCCAATCCCCTGCCTGCCGTGCTACAACACACGAATTTTTAGAGAGATGAAAGAGAGAGACAATTGGCGGGTAACGAGAGATAACTAGGTAGGTGAGGATAAGGGACGGAAGTTTTTAGGGACAAATATTTATGATTGTCATAAGGAGTTTTTAATTATTTTTAGCCAACAGATGTCAAATTAGATAGTTTGAAAATTGTGGTATATGACGAAATTTGAGAAATTAAACTGGAAAAATTGAGCATGGTAGTACCATTTAAGAACAGTTAGGGGTACTAAAAATGGTGTGGTTTGCTCTAAACAATCAAAAGTAGAGCACACCTTCAAATAGTGTCGAGAAATATAGTTTAAATTTTGAAAATCATTGTGATAGCCTTAAAATATATTTTTGTCTCTAATGATAAAATTTAAAGCTTAAAAAATAGTGTACATCAAGTAGATTTAAGAAAACTTGAAAATCGTGAAAATTGACAGTCAAAAAATGCAGTACAAGATATACTATTTTCTAAAATTTAAATCTTTTTTTTTTTTCTCATGGCTATGCATTTTGATGTCGAGATGATCAATTTGAAGATATTTGAGCATCAAAACCACCTCTTCTAGTGAAATTTTTTAGGCTGGCTCTAATTTGATTGTTTAGAGCCTCAGCCCTGTATAAATTTTTTTCATTAAAAATACGATTCAAGTGATAATTCAATGATTTAAAAGTGGGTCCATGATCTAGATCAAACACCTTAAAAGTTGGTCCAGATCGGTAAACCGGGGGACTGGATCATCATTTTACTATAGTGAAGAAACGATAAATTGATGAAAACAATGAGCCTACTAAAAACCAATCTAGGTGAATCGATGGTCCAAATCACCATTTTACTATAAAGAATTGTCGGATTACTATACGGAGGAACTGGATGCCTTCTAGCTTCGATCATTTTTTTTATATATATACAGAACTAGAATGAGGATCGATTTTCAGATCGGATCGAGTGATTATGTACGGACCCACCTTTTTTTATATATCACTAATTGATATCTCAACTTTTTAGTGGAAGTTGGGTCTTTCCAGTCATTTTGAAAACAGAAAACCTCTTTCTAGCCATCTCTAATCTCCTTCCGCTCCCTCACCTCACTGTCCTTTCGATTTTACTCTCCATACCCACACAATTACTCTCTCTCCCTCTGTACAAATTATGCATTTTCTTTGTAAAAGTGGATTCTAAGGCTTCTGTCTCCTGCTAATTCGTTTGTGTCCTTCGCCCAACTTACATCATCACCCACCTTTTTTTCTCTCTCCTCATCTTTCCTTGGACCTCTTCTCTCTCTTCTCGCACCTACCCACATTTTCTTCTCTCTCTCACACGCACCCACATTCTCTCTCTCTCTCTATCCAACTTTTTTCGAACTTTATACTCTCTCTCTCTGTGGAAAGGGCCCAGCAAGGAAAAGTAAAAAGGATGGGATTTTCCCTACTTTTAGGCTGTATCAGCCATTCCCTCATCACCCTTTCCCTTTACGAAAGCTCTATCTTCCTTCATTTCATCAAAAACCCGAGATTTTCAGGTTTTTCGATTACTTCCCCTTCATATTGCCTCTACCCAACATCAAAATCAGTATGGGTTCTTCCGTTCGATTGTTTAACAGGCAGAGAACTGTTCATGAGATCCTTGGAGGAGGAATTGGTACACAAAACTCTCTCTCTCTCTCTCTCTCGAACTTTCTCTCTGTAAATTTATGGGATTTGGATTTTGGGGTTTATGGGTTTGGGTTTATACAGTTGCAGATGTGATGCTATGGAGAAGAAAGAATTTGACAATTGGGATTCTCTTTGTTACTGCTGCTGCTTGGATTGTTTTTGAGAGATCAGGCTATACCCTGCTTTCTTTGATTTCTAGAGTTCTTCTTTCATTACTTGCAATTCTCTTTGTGTGGGCAAAAGCTGCATCAGTTCTTAACAGGTGCGCTATTCATTCATGGATCCATTCGCCCACCCTTTGAATCTCTCTCTCTCTTTCTATTGAATTAGATTTTACTGTATCAGTTTCAGACCACATATTCTCTTTGACTAGGGGAAGAATTTTAGTGGGGAGCACTTCCTATTTTTGTTTGATTGCATTTGAATCAGTTAAGAGTACAATTTTGATATTTGTTGTGTGAATTGTTTGATCAAAGTTTTTATGGTATTCATGTGTTCAGTTTTTAGGGACATTGATGCTTAGAATCTCATTGTCTCACTTTTCCATTCAATATGAGAATTGCTTACTTCAATGGCTCAAATCTTAGAATTGGGGTTCGAAATTGTGCATCAGATTTTTTTATAGCATCACCCATTAGGACATGTTCATCTCATTTACATTACATTGCTTGATTTCTGTTATCTATAAACATCTCAATTGTTAGCTTCTTATGGCTAACCAATCTAAGAGAAAGGGGTTTTATTTGCAGTTATTAGAATTCAATCTGATTTCAATATTTCTTGTAATTTCAAACCTTTGGGACTCTGTAATTTTATCTTGGATATTTTTTTTTTAAGTGATTTCCTTCAGAAAAAGAAAGAGGAATACCTTACTTCTTCTCAAAGATAATCACTTCAAAGGCAGACCTTTTCTTTTATTTTGTTGACAAAGAAGAGATTGATGTGCTTCATTCCATTTGGACTCTGAACCTTCTCATTGGCATATGAATTGTAGCTTTAAGTTTTTGTGTTTAATAAACCATGTTTTGTTATGAATGGAATCTATGCTTTCATATTGTGGCGACATCATGTTGGCACACTTTTCTATTTCAATAAATCTAGCAATTACATTTTGAGATATTAATTGTTGATCACAATATATGGAAAAAGATCGTTATTAAGATCTGATATGACCTACTTGTTCTTAATAATTTTGGGTTAATGGCTATAATACATCTGTATAGTCACACAAATTTGGTTCCTATCGTACATATAAATCCAATATGAACATATACAGACGGGATGGGATAACTCAACCAGATAAAAACTCAAATTTTTCATTAAATCAGTCCAGTTTCCATTCAAAAACCACAAAAATAAGCAATGGAACTAAAACAAGGAACTTAATCAAACCAAATTGAATGGCTGAATGGCTTCAAATTGGAAGAATTCAGCTATTGAATCGGTGGTTGAATTAATCTGTTATTGAATTGCAAAGAGTAAGCCCTTCACCTTCTTGTTTCAAGTTTCAAACTTCAGCTTGATCTTCCAAGTGCTGCCAGCTGCTACACCAGGTGCAAAGAACCGAAAGCCCTTCTTTTCAGTTCCTCCGAGATACAAGGCTTTATTTGGCACTATCATTCTATGTATACATGGGATGTGTATGTTTTTATGTGCAGCTTTAAGTAAATAAGCAATTTGTGATCTCATGATTCTACATTTCCTCGGGCGTGGATGTTATGATTATATTTTGATAAACAACCAAATCTATTATAAAATACAAATTAATAACCAAAAGGAAGTATTAAAATACGAATTGCATCTCATTGACTTCTTGGTCCTCTTGTCTCAAACCCGGGCTTCTATTCTTATATATTGTAAAAGCCTTGTTAACTAGTGCCCCTTATATAAATTTAATTATCAAACAATGACACGACAATATTATTAAAGCCCTTATATAACGCAACGAGATTCTATTATGTTTTTCTGAACAAGATTATATTATGTTTCTCCCTCCATATCCTCTATTTTACCTTTTTTCAAGCATAGAGATTCTTCTGCTAATATATCAAGAAGTTGAAAAAAGTTCCTATTCTCTTGTCAACTTTGCACACGGTTCCATTATATTTCGATCCAAAATGATTGATTCTTGTTTCATTGAGATAATAGGGGATGCTTGGTATGTGTTTTTTTCGGTGAATCAGTGGGGATGACAGGCCCCTACCCTTTTTATTAAAAGTAATAAAAGATCTTACATGTGCAGTCATTTTATGGTTGGTATGTTTGGCACGGCGAAACTACATTCTATCTCTAAAATATGTCGGGTTTTTCAGGCCACCTCCACCTTTGCCAGATTTGCAACTCTCAGAAGAACTAGTGGAGGAGTCTGCTGCTTTCATACGTTCACAGACAAATTATTTTCTCAAGGTTTCACAGGATATTGCCCTTGGAAAGGACTCGAAGCTCTTTTTCAAGATCGCTGCTTATCTATGGCTAATCTCAGTCATAGGGAGCTGGACTGATTTCCTCACTCTAGGATACACAAGTAAGTCCAAGCTTCCACAAAAATTCTATCATTATAATTATCAGTATTAGTATTAGTAGTTGTAGGAAGAGGAACAGCAGCAGCATTAGTAGGATATGACATTGACATACGATCGTCAGCAGTAGTATATGATTGACATATGATTAGCAATAGTGTCTATTAATGGTACAATGGTTTCAAAGATTTGCCATTTTGTTGCCTGAGCAACGGAAAGTAGAAAACGGGGCCACAATCTAGGTTTGCTTCTTATCTAAAACATTGAATGGATGGGCCCATTAAAATTAATCATGCTGATTATGATTATTATTGCAATTATAATTATCATTGTTTCATTATTATTATTGATATTTATTCCATGTCCCATAACCCTTTACGCACCACAGGCCTCGTCTTGGTTCTCACTGTCCCAGCATTGTACGAAAAGTATGAAGATCACATTGATACATATGCAGAGAAAGCCTACACAGAGTTGTTGAAACTCTATGTAAAACTAGATGAAGAGTGCTTCAGCAAGATCAGGAAATGGATTCAGGCAAAGAGGAAATCAGAATAATATCCTATATTTTTGTGATTTCACAAAAAAACGAGATTGGTTGGTTTCATGATGCAGAATCTTGATTGTATTTTTTGGGTGGTTTCTTTTTCATGTTTTGCGGAAGAATTTGGAGTTTTGATTGTTTTTGAGTGATTGATTTCGGGTGTATGCACCTCTGTTTATTTCCTCTTTTCTTTTTCTTTTTACTCGTGGGTAGTTGGAGAAATGTAGTTTGCGCGTTACTAATTTAGAGAGAGCTTGTAAAGTTTGTTTTTTTATTATTAGAGAGGTTGTGAAGTTCTGTTATTGTTTTGTGGAGGGGTGCATTCTTTTTTAGTGATGAATGCCCTGTGATTTCTTAGGGTTCTCTGGGTGTTGGTGATGTATTGTGTATGAAATTATTTGGAAGATACATATGATTAAACGGCTGTGAACCTCTTTTGTTGTATTTTGGATTACATAACCAATAAAAGAGGAAGAAGAGAGAGAGAGATGCTCTTCCTTTGCAGAGTTTGTCCATGCCATATTTCATTTTAATGTGACAATTCATACCTTATGCCTTGCCCCGCTTTCTCCATCATAACCCTCCTTCCTCTCTCTCTCTTAACCCTCTTTCCTTGTTTATCTTTGTATAATGTGGCATCTCTCTAATGTGATATCTCTCTCTCTTCATCCGTCATAACCCTCTTTCCTTGTTTATCGTTTTAGAATGTGGCCAGCAATGCTCTCTCTCTGTATCTCTTGTTTATCTTTGTAGAATGTAGCAAGCAATTCTCCCTTTCTAGGCATGGTAGGACAAGATGATACTCATTAATTTAAGGGTGTGGTTGTCGAGACCCAAAACCCTAAACGATCAAAGTAGGACGCACCTTCAAAATTTTCATCAGAAGAGGTTGTTTCGATGTTCAAAACTCTCATATTATTCATCTCAACATCAAGATACATGGGCATGAGAAAGAAATGGATTGTAAATCTTGGAAATAGTCCATCTTGTAATGCATTTTCGGACCAATAATTTTCAAGATTTTCTAGTGTTTATAGATTTGTTCGATCTATATTATTTTTGAAGCTTTGAATGTTATTGGCATAGATCTCTAGAAAAATCAAGTTCCACACTCATGTGATACTTTTTTTAGAGATCTATGCCAAATTTGATACTTTTTTT